GGAGGTTAATAAAAGCATTTGCATTAAAACAAAGAGTGATGTAAAAACAAGATTTTTTTTTTAAAAAGAAGCCAACGTTAATGGGTTTTCTGTGGTTGGGTGGGGGGGAATAAAGATATTAAAGGCAGTGGCTTCCTTAGAGAGAACAACAATCATGCTGATCAGCTTGTTCTCATTCAGTGGGTACTTTCTTTTCAACCAATTAAGGCTAGAATAAGCAAATGAAGCTGTGCAAACAGAGAGGTCCACAATCCTCTGAAGATCAAATGAGATTCATCTATAAATTAGAAAGCATGCAAATAGAAAAAAAAAGGTTCTATAAGGCTGCATTTGAGCAGATTTCCATTTTAAGGCAGGAACTGTACTGGTGCAACTAGGGGGGAAGGTCTTTGTGGAAAACAAAAGGAAATGAGACAATGTTGTAAAACCTATAGTACTCAGCATCAAAGTGCAATTAAGTAAAAGGTCACATGGGCCACATCTTACATAAGAGATAGGGCCATCTTCTTCTAAATCAGCAGACCCACCGGTGATCAATCATTCTAATCCAAACTACTGTGCATCATATTCAGGCAACAGATGTGCTGTGCAACAGTGCAAACAGATTCAGAAGATTCATTTGGCAGAGAGAGGCTGCAGCCTTGGGCAATTGATCTGGGATGTCTTGAAAGGGCAGGAAATTGTTAGTAATTTGATTGTTTTTTTTTTTAATTGCAACCTCCCCCCCCCAACCCTGGCTGTCAAGGAGGGTAGAGATATCTGTGAGATTTTCAAAATAACTTGGTTGGCTTTGGGTTCTATGCACCTTGGCGTCATATGAGGAAAGAGGATGGTTGGAAGTATTTACTATTCTGACTCCAGTAGCACTTACGTTTTGGTTTGGCTCTGAGACACCCAACCAAGTGAGCTCAGCCAAGATTACATGTTTATTGAGTAAGAATAAATAAATGTGTAGAGCTGTACCCCAGCTATCAAATGCCCTCACCAGGGTTGGCACCAATCTTAACATCCTTTCCACACCATAGAAAGACCTTGTATTGTATTTTTCCAGCTTTTAAAACCACAATATACCTATGAATCCTATTTCCAGCTGCGTTGTTTTTTAAAATATGTATCTGTTTGATACTGCTCCTGATTTAACTCTTATTCTTTCAATACTGTGTTTTGCTGTAGTACATTTTTGGTTACTTTGAAACTGATAAGCTGCCCAGAAAATTTTCTTTTCTTGCAGAATGGCTTATAAACAATGTAAATAAATGGGATTTTTGAAAGCAGTACTAAGGTTTATCAGATCTGGTAAGAAATATTTTCTGGTCTCCAAATATGGTTATTTGTTAGAAAATCAAGATTCAGTCAAGGGAAATATTAATGGGTGCTGTCTAAGTATAGTTACAAATTATCCTGCACAAAGTCCCTTATTGGTTAGTGATAATCACTGCATTGATGAATCACTGAAGCTTGCACTTTTTAGTGGATGATCATAAAAATCTTAATACAAGCACTAATGAATTAATCACTGGGACCCATGGTTTTCCAGGTAGAGAATACTCAGAAGTGGTTTACCATTCTCTTCTTCTGTGGGTGCTCTGGGACTGTGCTGCTTACCCAAGGCTACATAGGCTGTCTCCATTTGCAGGAGGCATAGGGAGGAATCAAACTCCCAAACTTTGGCTCTGCAGTCAGATACCTAAACCACTGAGCTATCCGGCCAGATTCACACAGGGATCACTTTTTCCTATTTGGGTGTGTGGGTTTCAATTATTTCTAAAAGTAACAATACTCTCTCAACTATTTGTGTATTGACCAGAGAACTTTGGTTACTGGGAGTTCCAGACATGTGTAAAAAAATATTGTATACATTTGATTCGATAAATTCGATAAATCCATTAATATTTCTTTTCCTAGAGAAAGAGGTACTTAACTGACCCTTCCCTCCATTCATTTTATTGCTGATATATACCTCCTTCAGTACCCATTCCTGGCACCTGCTTACTTGTCTTCTTTTACCACAAATTGTTTACAAAGGTGTCAAGAAGCTTTTGTTATCTATGAGATGTCAGGATCAGTTTCCCAAAGTTCAAGATTGTGAGGTCAATACAATACCAAAGAATTCTATGTAGAGGCCATTTAACTAAGAGAACGAAGTAAATTATCCTCAGCAAAATAAAAGAGGGGACCTAGTAAGGGCCGAGAGGATAAATTTGAGGGAGATAAAACTCTTTTGCTCCTTGAAGACAAAGTTCTTTTCCTTCTTTATCGTTGGTTGCTTTCTGGCACATTTAGAGTCATGCTGAAACTCAGCTTGATGCTCTGAATGAGCCTTCTTGATCCTAATAATGGATTGCTGAACCAAAGAAAACTAGTATCTAACCTTCTGTGCACTGTTTTATTTCCCACATTCTCAACATATCAGCATTATAAATTTTTTTCAGCATGTATAATTCCTTTTAAAAAAGTTTATTTTTATATTTTCATTGGTGTATTAAATGTAACCTAATTAATAAGTATTAATAGGTATAAAATATTCTTCCTGCATCTGAAGATGTAGGTAGGAGTTCATGAAAGCTTAAGCCATACAGAACATGCCAATCTTTCAGGTGTGCAAGACTGTTCTCTCCAATGTTCATTTGCCTCAAGCTTTTCAAGTGGCATTCAGACTTACTTCTCCTTATTGCAATTTAATAAACAAGTGCTTTCAAACAAGCCATGCTTGGGTCATGATACATCCCTGAACTCAGAGCTTGGAAAAGTTATATTTGAACTACAGTTCCTATAACTCCCTAGCCAGCATGACCTGTGCCTTGGAGAAGCTGCTAAAGCTCTGTCAACCACAAGGTTAACCTAATTCCTGCAGTTGGATATCTTTCGCCTTATGGAGTAAATGGTAAAGCAATAGCAAACTCATTAATAAATATCAGCAGATGATCTAAGGCAGTAGCAGGCAGACTTCTGGCAAATGGCTAGCTGCCAAAGAAGGGGCTTTATTGGGGGATGCGGTAGGTTTTTTTTACCAGCTCCTAAATATTTTGTGATGGCTTTTAGTTCAGTTAGTTTTAAAATATGAGAATATGTTTAATTATTTTTAATGGGGTAACATTATACGTTTCAGCTGTGTTAGCCTTTTAAATACTTTGTTAACTGCCTCTGAGAATTCTCTTATTGAGAGAAAGGTAGGATATAAACAAAATGAATGAATGAGTGAGTGAGTGAGTGAGTGAGTGACACTTAGCCTTCCTACGGCAGTGCCTGTTTTGTTAGCTGCCTCTGAGAATCCTCTTATTGAGAGAAAGGTAGTATAGAAACAAAATGAGTGAGTGAGTGAGTGAGTGAGTGAGTGAGTGAGTGAGTGAGTGAGTGAGTGAGTGAGTGAGTGAGTGAGTGAGTGAGTGAGTGACACTTAGCCTTCCTACGGCAGTGCCTGGCTCATTGCATTTATTCTTCCAGACTCTTACTACTGGACTCCTAACTGTGTGAAAAACATCCACCAATTGAAGAATACAATACACTTCCTAACGCATAAATATTGAAAAAGTTACCACCAGCATGGTTAAAGAATGGCTAATACTAAGACAAAGGAAAGCACAACTATCTTCGCAGCTTTCCAAAAAAAAGAAGCGGCAATTTCTTATTCCTAGAAAAGCTGACACCAAAGGCTTCAGATTAGCCTTTGGAGCCTGGAATTTAGAAACTGTCACCAAGAGGGAAAAACTTTAAGGCTGATTAAAAACCACACACTTCAAACCACTCTGACAAAGCTGTCTGTGCAGATCACAGCAAGTGGGATATGAAGGGCTGATGGGCAGAGATTGCATGGATAAGAAGACCAAACCCCATGTTTGTGAAAGGTAAATGGAAAAGTCACATGTTTCTAGGTGGGTTTGTTAGCTTTGCAATAATGTCAAGAAAACCTCAGTACAAAGGAAGGTGAGGGGATATTTCTTTAAGAGTTTTAGGCTGCTTTTTGTGTGTGTGTGTGCTTAATAGACAAGGGTTATCCAGTAGGCAAGGCTGGTTCAAATCCCTGCTTGGCCAGGAAGCTCATAGAATGGTCATGAATTCACTATTTAAACATTCTGGTAGAACATTTGGAGATAAGATGTGCTCACTCCCCAACACATGCCTCTCTGTTGCTCAATTGGTGTAGAATATGTACAAGAATCTATCAACAGAACTCTGGACTATTAGAAATGGGAAAAAAATAGAAATATCTCTTATCCAGCTCTTATGCTAAGCCCGGATCCTGTATGTTCTAAACAAGAGAGGTCAGAAAAAATTACTTATTTGGCCCACAACCCCCAATCAATGGCCACAATGTCTGGGCATAGTGGGAGTTATAGTTCACATAAGCAACTTTTCTGAGCTGTGCTAAAAACTTCAAGTGTCTTCATTTCAATTGCACTGCACTTAAAGTTCAGAGAAGACAGCTCCAGGCTGTGTCATGGCAAAAGCGATTGTGTGACAAGACACACATTTTTGAAATCAGCAAGGATTGTTTTCAGAGAGGGACAACAACCAAAGAACCTGTATGTATGGCTGTTGAATGAAGAAGAAAGAGCTTATGCTCCTGCAGCTAGAGAATATTTACTAGACAGCTGGGGGGTGGGGAAGAGAAACCAATGACTTAAATCATTCTAGGAAGAGTAGAATGGAGAGAGAAATGTTTTTGTGGAGAAATAGTGAGAGGCTTTCTCAGAAAATCCATTCTCCTCATGTTCAAAGGTTTGCGTCTGGTGCTGAAACAGGGGAATTTATACAATCTGACCGAGAAAAGGTTCTCTCTCTTTCTCAGGAAGGGCATATAGTGTCATAGGTGCACAATCTGTTGACCTCTGCCCTTGATAAGGCCCTGGCTGGATTACAGCATCAACTTTTACTGCATTCCTTGCATTGCTGCTTTCAAAGCTGCAGGCTGCCTGTCTCTGCATTGGAGAGTTACCGAACAGAGCAACGAACACATGCACGACACACAGAAGAAGGAGAAAAAGAACAAAGAAACTTACAGGAAAGACTTCATATCCAAGCCTCGGTTCCGAATCTGCCCCACCATATGGTCCCAGCTCCCAGGGTTGGAACGGCTACGGCCACCGGCTGTCCTTTGCTTGGAGCTAGCAGAAGTCCCTTGCCGTGACTGTCCACTCCGACAGCCCCGGGGGTTGCTGCCGGTGGTGGTGGTGGAGCTGGTGTGGGACTGCAGGTGCCCCAGGCTCTGGCTGGTGGTGGGCTGGCTGTGGTTGGGTTTCTGGTGCTGGCTGAGTGGCTGTTGGAGACTCTGCTGGCGCAAGAGGGTGCGTGGGCGCTGGCATTTCGGGTCTCCTGCTGAGGTGGGGATATACTCAAGGGTAGTGGCTGTGGACATGGTGGGATCCTCAAAACTTAGGGAGGTGAAGGGCGAGGGGAAAGAGAAAAAGGAGAAGAAGGTAAAGGGGCAAAAGTGGAGGGAGGAAAAGTAGAGAGTTAGAGAGAAGATGCCCCAACACAGCACTCTCTCTGCCAGGGACCTTCGGAAGCAGCAAACTGTCCTAGGGGTTCGCCCCTCCACCTCTGCTTCTCTAGCAGCAGAACTGAGTTCCTGCCTGCTGGCCATTGTTCTTTTTTTGGGGGGGCTGCTTTCTTGACCCAACGATGCTTTCCAGTTCTTGGTCTCAGCGTGAAGTCACTAGCGAAGCAACTCCTCCTTCTCAGTATCTTTATCTTGTAAGCAAACTCAGAACACCAACCCCTCTTTCTTGAACTAATTAGGTTGCTTTGTGAAGGCAATTTCCCCTGGTGCCTGTGCTGCTTGCTGCCTGTGACACGTGGCAGGCTCAACAACCACTTTCCCCATTGGCTGCATCTCAATTAGCACATCTCAGCAAAGTGGCAGCGGGAATAGGAACTCTCACATGTCCTGGGAACAGTGTTAGAGAAACCGATGGCCAAACTATTGGAATGCTCTAGGGTTCCATGCACACACACTCCCCGTAGGGTTGCTATCATATATATGTAGTATCCCCCAAAGTACAGAATTGTACGATATATAATTATATTTATAATTTCTTATGGATAGGTTTATGTACTGTTAGAAACTAAGCATACTGTTATAGGACGCAATGGTTAAATTGGAGTACTGCAGTCAAGTCTTTGCTCAAGACCTGAGTTCAATTCTACCCGGCTCAGGTAGCTGGCTGGAGGTTGACTCAACCCTACATCTTTCCAAGGTGGGTAAATTGAGTACCCAGCTTACTGGGTCCAGGGCAGGATGGAATGTGTAGCCTCCATCATTGGATTATTAACAACCCAGTGAATGCTTTAAGTGCTATGAAGCAGTATATAAGCAGCACACTTCTCTTTGCTTTTTATATGATAACTAGAAATACAGCTGCAGCTGCTTTTCTTGCCATTGTACGGCAAGGAAAGCTTCAATTATTTGCATTTTGGTAATTGTGTAGAGTGAAAGGCATAGGCATTTGTCTGTAAAAAAAAAGAGGGCAATCATAGAATGTACACCAAGGTACAAATTGCGGTAGCACTCTTAGCCCTGGAATTTTCTGGGTTCCGTAGGTAATTTTTCTACTGTCTGTATTTAATTCCAATTTCAGAGCATCATTAGAAAAAAATAATACAGAGCAAAGTCTGAAAGGCAGAGAAATGACTCGGTGTACTGCCCCTGGAGCAGCTGTGTCCCCACAGAAGGACTTAGCTTACTTCTTGGCTGTCTTATGTGACCTCTATTTGAAGACACATGTTTACTGCTAGTACATCTTGTTCTCCCCTCAGAAACAGCATAGAAGCACAGCATATTGAGGAATGGCCTAGAGTCTGGACTTAAAACTCCATCCTATCCTTCTGAAGGTGACACTTTCAGATTTTTTTAAAACATAATGTCACTGGTTGCAGGTGCAGTTGTGCCTGGCTACATACAATCCTGAATTATTGACACCTCCATACAACCATAAATTCAGAGAAGCTGCAGCGTGTTCTTACTATGACTCTTATAGAACTACAGTGATCTTTCGTTTCTCAGGACCATTCTACAAATTACAGAAGAATAAACTTAGTTTTATCGGCAAGGATATAGTCAGTAGGTAACTAAAGCGAAGCACCATTTCTCAGTGAGTTCATCTGTATGATACACATGTCTGTAAATATTTTGGGGTATACTCCTAAAAAATCTAATGCTCGAAGTGGCTATAAGAGACTTAAGTACATGTGACTCACAGTTATATGGGTAGACACCAAGTATTTAATATCTTGCTTAGAATGACCACTTTGGAAGGAGAAACTGAGACTATAGGAGCATCAAGGAAAAATGATACTTGTCTTTTACATCCATGTGATGCAGAAAGGCTCACAAGAAGACAAACTGGAGTGAGGAAATGGCAGGCAGAATGGCTAAGCTTCCCTTCCATTTTGCCCTTCATATACTACCAATTACCTTTCTGAAGTGGTTTTTCTAGGAACACAAAACACACTGAGCTTCTAATATGCACATGTGTGTTTAATGCTATAATAATTCCCTCCAATGTCTGGTGGTCACACTTCTGTACATTTGAGAGAGACCTTGTAGGCATGATCTGTAGCCTGTGGCACAGGACAGAACATTTGGCTAAAAAGACAATACATGAAGTACAGACAGCTGTCCAAAGACATGACAGAGGCCTACGGCTAACTATGCAAAGCGGATGGTTGAGCACACATTCAAAAACGCAATGCAGCAAACAATAGCTATCCATTTAGCCATAGTCAGAGATGAACAGATATGGCTGATCATACTGTCAGATGAAAAGAGAGCAGGGAGCAGACAGGTATTAACAAGAAGAACCCTTGGCCAGGGCTGCTCAATTTTTGTAAAATTTGGTGGGAATCTGATATTCGGGGCAGGATTTAGATTTCAGAAAATACTGTAGGAACATGGGAGACTGCTTTACATCAAGTCACTTTGCTGGCCTATCTAGTTCAGCACTGTCTAGATTGTGGGTCTAGAGAGTTTTGAACTGAAGGCTTTTCTTGGTTCACATCTCAGATCACCCCTAGGAGATGGCCAGGACTGAACCTGTGATCTTTTTTGTGTAAGACATGTGCCCTGCCACTGAGCTGTAGCCTTCTACCTTCTTTAACTTAGAAATGGGGTATATTTGCAGAAGTATCAATAAAATCTCATTGGTTGTACTGAGAATACAGCTTCTATATCTCACACAGCTTACTATTTCTTCATTATGACCTCCTATCACATTTCCACACCTATTAGATTGTGGTATTTGTCAATCAACTGATGTGAAAGCTGTTCTTAACCCTAATTCTGTCTTGCAGAAAGGTAGGTGTCCACTTCAACAAGTGTACAGGTTGGCATGTCTTGTACTGATTTGCATAATTTTTGGAACACATAATCTGTTTCCACAGTACAGAAATGATTTTCCTTCCTTTTCTTTTCTTCTTCTTTTTTAAAAGATCATTAACGAACAGCCCTGTTTACAGTTAAAGCAAAGCCAGACACAGAGATGTAAAATGAGTGCACAGGAAGGGAAATGGAAGACATATGACAAAGCATATGCAGGAGGATATGGCAGGATGACTGACGAAGCAAGCATAACAGTTATACCATGAGGGGCTGATTTCACTGAACTTCTGAAGGTCATGGTGGGCCACAGTCCTCACACAGAGATGGCCAATCACTGAAGCAGACGGATGAACATGTGACAGGAGAAAAGTACACAGTTGGCTGATTGCCCTGTCAGTCTTACTGATTCACTGCTCTGCCTCTGCCCAAGGAACGAACATTTGAGAGCACTCTGAAGAGCAGTCAGATGGGGCCGGTAGCTGTTAAATCTTTGTAGGGGCTGCTCTGGGCAAAAAGTGAAACCAGCCTGAAGCTTAACCAGAGAAGCATGGAAACCAGGGCCTCATAGCAGAAGGGTTCTAGCATCCCTTACTTGCTGCCAGCCTGGCCTGGAAGCCACTGTTACCAGAAGCAGCCAAAAAGATTAAAATCGAAATAAAAACACGGATGCCAAAGTTGAAACTGCAAAGGAATTGTATCTCTCTATATAGTGAAGAGGAGAGAGAAAGAGAAAAGGAGAGAGGGAGAGGGAGAAAGCAGAGGAAGAGAGACAGAGAAAGAGAGAGAGAAAGAGGTCAGGGATTGCAGAGAGAGAGAGAGAGAGAGAGAGAGAAAGTCTATGACAACAAAGACTCCTGCTTCCTTTCCCCCCTCATCCTGGGAAATTATTCAGGTAGCTCTTCATAAGTCACCTACCAAGGACTTGAGGAACCAGCCTGTACCAGGTATTGAGACCTTAAACTCAGCCCCCCTGCTGTTAGGCAGCACAAGACAGAAATGGGCCTTTCCCAGCCACTGCTTTCTTCACATGCAGTGACCTCATTTCAGTTTTCTATCAAATCCTAAATTAGTCCAATTTTCAACCTCTCAGTCACAGGAAGCTAAAATTGGCTCCTTGAGGCCCAGAGCCAGCAGAATATAAATTTCTATCAAGGGTAATTGCAGCATGGGAAGCAGTCCGAGTGCTGTGGGGCTTTACCAGCCACACACCTGGCACTCTGGTATCTCTGCGGGTCCTGTATCCCATTTCCTATTCCCAGCACTAGGCCATTGTGCAAGTATATGGAAGGGATCTTTTGACTAGACAGACAAAGCAAAGTACTGTAGAGCTCCATCACAAAACACACACATGCCAACTTAGATAGGGACAAGCCAGTCACGAGGCTCTTTGTTGCGAAGGACAACATATGACAGATCAGTTTACACCACCAAAAACATCATTTAATCAAGAAATGCATCAAATTCTATAACTAATTTAAATGTCAGAAAAATACGAAGCTGCTGCTGTTATATGTTCATTAACAGCTTGAACAGATCACCAACTACTATCTTTTGCATCCTCTGCACAACAGCAACTGCTAGGGAACATATGGAAGGGGTTCTGTTCTGAAATATGCAGAACAGATATTTCTGCAAGATAATCTTTGAAGGGCCAGTTTTAGAAAGCAGCAGGCTTACAATAATGAATTCAGCTGTTTGTACATGGATGAACTTGCTTTGCTCCTCATGCGTTCTCTGCACAACAACAGTGACTACTAAGAAGGTAAGAAGCAAACCTCAATTGCTTGGAATGTGTGTGGCTGGTAAGATTATGTGCCTAGCCTCAGGCAAGAATGCCTCTAGAAGGTGGGAATGGCAAACCACTCCTGAGTAATTTATACCTAGAAAACTCTATGAAGGTTGCAATAAGTTGGAAACCACAACACATCATTCATTATTATGTGTACTCTGGAAGGATGAAACTTTCAAAGAAGAATTAATGGTATATCTCAGAATGATTGCTTTCTGGGGTAGAACAGGTGAAATCTTAGGAGAAATCTTTGATCACTTCTTGTTATAATAGTAATGACAATAATCTTAGAACTTCAGAGCTGGAAGGGACCCAATGGATCGCTGAGTCCAGCTTGAGGCACAGTTATGTGAGAAGACAAAATGTAGTGCCATATGAATGCGGTAGAAAAATTATTCCATTTAAGAAGTCCACTCATCGTAACATTTAAAAAAAAAATCTGTCCCTTCATCCTGGCAAATCTAGTTCTTTCCAGATGCTATGGGTTTGTCTGTATGTCCGTTGGGAGAGAGGTGAGGAGCAGCAGCATGGCACAGATGAGAAGAACAATGGCCCTGCTTACAGTGGGATTTTGGAGTATAGCCTTTCCCCCATCTCTGGGCTCCTTTCCAACCTATACACATTCATTAGAATGTATGAAAATAGTCCATGAACCACACAGGAAAACCTTTTTTACACCTCCCAGTGAAAATGGGTCAGAGGAAAGATGGCTTCAGAGATGCTACCCTCTTATCACACAAGGGAGCATGGTGCATATAGTACAGCCACCTTGTTGAAACTAAAATGGACTAACTGATCAGCAACTGTATGGGAAAATATGTGGGAACCCATTGTAAAACACATTGAGTGCAGTGATGGAGAAAAGGTGGCATATAAAGGTAAAGTGTTATAATTTTGAAAAAGAAAAGAACTGAAAAGATTGCAGAACTTCAAAAGAATGTAATTTTCTGGAAATGGAAGAATACAGCTTGAGGAATTTTGTTTGGACACTCATATTTATAAATATTCTGCTGATGACCATTAGCTTTTGTCAATGTTTTATTTTTTTAAAAATCCCAATGTTGGGTTGCAGAGTATGCCCACACAATGGGGATGGGAGAAGGCATGAACTAGTGTGTCCTTAGCCCAAAATATTTGGAATATGGTGGATCACAAGGAAGAGCCCATCTGTAGCCTGACAGGTTATACCAGATTTGGCGGTGTACAAGATGACTTTTTGGCCCTGAAAAACATGCCTCCAAGGGGGGTGGGTGGGTGTCGTCTTATACGCCTAGTCGCCTTATACACCGGCAAATACGGTAGTTTGAGCTGGGGTGTGTGTGTGTGCGTGTGTGTGTGTGTGCATCTGGGAACTGGGTCAGCATTGAGGTTTTTCATCCTTCAGTGCTGCTTCTTGGACAAACATGGTTTCACTCACTGGATGAGTAAAATAAATAATGTTTGGCAGCCTGAAGTGTCAGAAAAAAACACTTCTAATAACACACTCATTTATTATGTTAGCTTAGGCTTCTTCAGTCTTTTCCCCTGCAGATACAGCAGAAGAAAGGTCCTATCATTGATATCCAGCATGGTCATTTGGCAGTTGTAGTCTAAGACATCTGGAGAGAACCACTTTAGCCCATTACTCTGAACAAGCAACATACATATGTTGGTTTTATGGGTTTTTTTAAAAAAATTGTAAGCTGCCTTAGGTGCTTTTTATGGAAAGGTAGGGTATGGATGAATGAATGAATGAATGAATGAATATGAATGAATGAAGCTTGAGGTTTGCTTGCTGTTTTTACTAGAGTGATGCCTGCCGCCCCACAAACTGCTTTTGCAATGGAGCTGCAGCTTGCCTCGGGGAGACAGGAACTCCTGTGACAGGAACAGCAGACAAAGTCCTCACTCCATACACAGTTTCCTCCCAACACATTTGTTTGCACTGATGGCAGATCCTTGTTTTGCCAAGCCCTTGACTAAAAGGCACTAGGTGAAGTCCTCACATTGATTGGATCGTTCCCTGTTTCCATAGTTTCACAACTTATTTTCTCTTATCTTCTCTCTCTAGGCCCAATCCATGCCACCATAAAGAGAACAATGGAAGTAGAGGCTCCTCTCCTCCCTCCTCCTTGCCCTTGCTTGTACCTTCATAGAGGGCAAGCATCCAAGCAGAGACAGTGAGATCCATGTTGCAGGCCATCTGTCTTTTGACCTGTGGCTAAGAACAAAGTGATTTCAAACGGATTGCTCCTTGCGTGTCAAGAACAAGGCACATAACTCATTCAGGATGTATCAGCCATTTTCTCAATCCATGGTTTTGAGAAGCTACTATGGAATACTTGTTCAGCAGAGGTCCAAAGTGAGCACTAGATTAAAACTAAGTTAGGAAACCTAATGGAAATGAAAGCCAGTGTGACATAGTGTATATGCTGGCGGATGGGGACTCAGGAGACCTGGATTCAAATTCTCACACAGTCATGGAAATTAACTGGGGGTGGGGGGGTGGGGTGGCAGCAGTGCTGGTAAAACCACTTCTTAAATATCTCACATATCATGAAATATATGTTAGGGTTACTATAAGTCAGATGTGACTTGATAGCACATAACATCAACACATGGAAAATACGTCTGCTGGTAATGTTATTTCTGCTTAAGATTCTGAAAACTATTTGATTGTGGAAAAGACTGGAATGAATCATATCTTGGAATTATAAACCTACTACACACTGCTTAGACTTGTCCTGTAGTTTGCATTATATTTACCTTGAAATATCTTGGTCACTGGACAAAGATGTCATGGTTAGCTGGTCAGACCTTTAGCCTGGCCCATTGCAATGATGTACTCTGACACACTCCAGGCTACTAGAAGATATAACTTATCCTGTTCTTTAATACTGATTCCCAACCCCCTTTTCTTCTCCTTCCAATTGGGTTTTTTGTCCTTTTTCCTTATACTGTATGTTTGCTATCAAGATCTGTGAACTTCCCCCATTGTGAACTTCTACACACTTTTATTGATTTCCATGCAGTCAGGATTATTTGTTTTTGTCTCCTTGCATATGATATAACCTGTCTCAGATCTTGAAGTCTTCTTATTGAACACCACCCAGAATGGCAGGGAAATTTTTCGACTACAACTCCCATACAGCCTAAAGATTCTGGAAGCTGCAGTCCAAAACATAGCTTTCTCAGGCTCTATCCCCACCACACATCTAACCATGTCATTGGAGCGTCATGTGGACAGCCTATGTTTTCTTGTGTTCTTCCTGACTCTGACATGAAGTTCCCAACAAGTTTGGGGTTTCCACCCAGCCAGCCACCCAGCCATGCTCCTCCAGCTGCCATGCTCTCTGGGCCATGAGGCAACAAGAAGGCCAGGCCTGTGATGTACTCTCACTCACTTGGATAGGCTGAGCTTCCCTGCTGCTAGGTGGCTCTGCACCGTTTGCCATCGACCTCTCCCCGCCTTCCCAATGCTGGGCTCGCTGTGGGCAGACACGCTGCTCTTCATGCCGTCCTCTCGGAGCTGTGGCCTCTCCCCATGGCGTCCATTTCGCTCCCCTGCCAACCCCGATGTGGCCGAAGCAGCCAATTTTGCACCTGAGAGCAATGAGCCGCTGGGACACATCAGAAAAAAAGAAGGGGGCAAGTGGACGCAAGAAGGAGGTCAAGCAAAGAGGAGGAGAAGAGTAAGAGAGGGGGAGAGAGAGAGAGAGAAAGAGAGAGAGAGACAGACAAAAGGACAGACAGACAGACAGACAGAGAGAAAGAGAGACATCAGCACTACAAAAGAAAGGGCCCAGAAGAGCCTTTGTCCCAGGCAAAGACAGCAGGCAGCCCTGGCTTGGCTGTGAGGTGATGATTGCAGCCCAAGTTACTTTATTCTATAGGCAAGGAAGGGTTAAACAATGGATAAGAGTGTTAGGAGAGGCACTATGCAGGCGAAGGGAGAAAAAAAGCCACGTTAGTGAGAGAGCTTACCACTACCCACCACCACCACCGCCACCACCACACAGTGCAGATGCAGAGAACACGCTGAGAGGGTGACCAAAACGGGCAACCCCGTCCTGTGCTGCAGAGAAGGGGAGAACAGGAAGGGGAGGGATAGGAGAACCAAAGGAACTGAGGGGTGCAGGTTAAAAAAATGGTGCCTTCTTTTGATGGGTTGCTTAAGGCAGTGGTTCTCAATCCACTGAAACCACTAGGCAAACCTAGCAAGCTGAAGCCTATGCCAGAGCTTTCTCAAGACAACGATGGCTTCTGAGCAAGCTCTAAGACCTTGGGTGTGGTGGGCAGGGCCCCCCCCTATTTGCTTGCCTTTTGGCTGGCTTAAGTCACTATGGACGTGTGCCAGAGGCCCAAATTGAAGAATGGAACCTAGTCACATAGGCTATGAAGGTCTTCCCCAAAGACTAATAGTCACTTGTATCCAGATGCCAATCCACACAGAGATGTCTCAAGAACTCTCTTTTTCATTGGGACCAGCATCTGATCCATACTTGAGTACCGGGAGCCCAGGGTATTAGGCACTCAAGTCTGATCTACCAAGGACCACTGCACATGCCAGTAGTTGGGAACCACTGGATGGAAGGAAAGAGGAAGGGAAGGCAGGAGGGGTTGCTCGTCTCCATGGACAAATGTCCATGGGGAGGGGGTGGAAAGTCTGTGGGGAGACAGAGGAAGATGGAGGAAGGTGAATGGGAAAGCAGGAAGGGGAAGGTGGAAGAAAGGGTTTCATATACTCACTATATATGATCAAATCAGTTAAAGAGAGACTCACTTGAGGGAAAGTCGTGGATCACCATATGGGGCGTAAGGTGATATGTTTAGTATAAACTCCTTTGGAGGATAGGAGCTCCATTTCTGCTGCACTGTGTTGTCATTGTTATTCCAAAAGTCTCTGTCTAGATCACTAGATCAGCCGGTGATGAGGGAAGAAAAAAAAGGGAAATACAAAAAAGAGAATCTAAATTCCTGCAAGGGGAGGAAGGAAAAAATAACCCAAATGAGAGACAGCAAAGTTAGACTTCTCCTCCTGTGGAAGGTAAGCTTTGTGCCTCACATCCATGAGCTACACACATACATATATACATATGCACACGCATGCGCACACACAAACATGCTCACACAGAGATGGCAGGTGGGAACAGGAGTTAGAGCTGGAGAAAGACAAGAGCAGGCAGCTCCAAAAGCTGGTGAAGAGAGACAGAAAGAGAGAGAAAGATAGATAGATAGATAGAGAGAGAGAGAGAGAGAGAGAGAGAGAGAGAGAGACAGAGAGACAGAGAGAGACAGAGAGAGACAGAGAGAGAGATAGGTGGGTAGATAGATAGATAGATAGAGAGACAGAGACAGAGTGCAGATTAAAAAAATATCATTCCGGTGGTCCTATGATTCCCTTCTCATACCACCACTTTGTCTCTTGGAAAGGAAGGTTAATGGTTGTTTTGCATGCCATACTGTTTTATAACGGGAGGAGAATGCCTTTGGCCTCTCATTCCAACCCTAGCTTGTCCATCTACTATGGAGCTTGACAGAATACAGGTATATAGCACCAAGCACAATGTCAGCACTGTTTTCAAGGTGCTAGGCTTTTCTGGCCAGCTCCTAAACATCAATGAGATCTGCTGCTGCTATGGGGAGAAGAGAATCTCCTGGGAATTCTCCCCAGGCAGAATTTGTGCATCAGACTTGAAGCAAATGGACAAGTAGAGAAGCAGCAATGAAACTGGGAGTCAGATTCAGACAAAGCCAGGCAAATGTACTGTTTCAGTCAGTAGCTTCAATAAATTCTCCAGCCATCAGCTAAGTGGCTACAGGGGTTCCGGATATGTCATTAAAAATAGTTACCTGTGCCAAAATCCAGATGTGGAATAGATTTGCTGAAGTACTGGGATAGATTGTCACACAGATTCTCTCCATCAAGTGAAAAACACTGGTGGGGGTGGCAAAAAATTGGAAATACGCCTCTGGGTGTTCCTTTGCCAGAAGAGTCTCAGCCCATGCTTGCTGGTTGCACTGAATCTAAACTTAGAAAATCATAGCAGGAGAAGATTCATTGTAGAAATGATTGGCCCTCTGAACCTTCTTCCACTGCCTGTGGGGCAACGTGCCCTAGAACGTCATAATAAAGAAAGCTCCGGATGCTTGTCCTCCAGAAGAGGTTCCATCCAGCCGAAGGGATTCAGCGTGTCTTCATTGCATGGATCTTCTGCTTAGTTGTGCAGAAAGAGAGCTAGGGAGGGGTCAGCTGCCTCAGGTTGGAGGCTGTGCATTGACAGTGATCTCTAAGTAGGTCATGCCAGCACTCTGTGATCTGCTAGAGCTTGACCAAACCATCTTCTTCCAATTTTAGAAAGGCTCCAGTGGTTACTCAGTACTTGATTCCTGGCAGCATGTGAGATCTGACAATGGCCTTTGAAGTCAAATGCTTTTCTGGTAAATTTATTAGAGACATCAAAGTTCCCCTTCCAGGCTGAATGGCTGCACACAGCCCTTTGCCGCTCATTAACTATCCTTGCCCTTCTCTGGCTTGGGGATGAAAAAGCCTTCCTACTGGCCTCTTGAGAGGCATACTGAGGGGAGATGAAAAGCCTGGGATAAAGGGCCGCTGTGTTTCACCAAGGAACTCAAGACTCATCCTCAGAGGATGGAGAGTGAGCAAACGAGGAAAAGTCTAGCAAGGAAGTGGAGAGGCCAGTCTCTTCATCATGTAGTTCTGCCTGCCCCTTTCCACCTACCTCACCTGCTTTAGGATCAAAGGCACCACAGAAGCCTTTTGTAATATTGCTATGAGCCTTTGGAAGGGAACAGTTTTCCAGCCGCAGAAGACAAAGAGCAGGTAATAAGCTTTTCATATCCTTGTCTGCAGAGGTTCCTATGTCTCCTGCAGCCTCTCTGTAGTAAGAAAGGTCTCAGTGTTGCTTCTCAGTGGTGGTCTTGACCCTCCTTCAGGAAAAACCATATCTGGCCTCCAGCAAGAGCAGAATGTACACAGCTGCCATGTGCGAAAGATGCCAGGAAGACCATAGACAGTGTCACATGTTTATTATCAAAGAATATGATTTTGGAGCTCTGCGTCCAGTACCACTTGCTTAGTCAAAGGTATAGCTAATGGAAGGCAGTGCCACCCAGGTACTAGTGGAAGGCCCTGTCAATCCTGGGGCACAACATACACCTACACACATATACCTACACACACGTGCACACACACACACGCACAAACATACACACACACACACAGAGGAACAAATAAGCACTCATTTACATAATATGGACACATATATATGCACAATCACATATAAATACATGCACAAACGCAAATGTACACAGACATACACAAATGTAACCAATCCACCTATCTGAGCATCCCCAGCAAAGTGGCCTTCTTTGTACCCACAACAGGAGGAATTGCAAGGCAGAATATGCTGGATGTCAACATTTTTGAGGGAACACTCCTTTGACCAGACCACTACTTCTCCATGGGATGTGATCTAAGGTTCCTTAGCCCTGCTCCACTCTGGATCTCCATGGAACAAGTTCCACAAGATCCCTTACTGTAGAAAATTTGACTTGGCAACCACATAGGCAGATGGCAGAGAGGAACTGAGAGTAAGCTTGTATGATCATATTGGAAGGCAAAACACCAGCCATGTTATGAAACTGATACTTAATCATGCTCTCAAGAAGTGTGCGTTTTTAATCATTCCTGGAGATGAGATTAAATATCAGTTTCACCATATGGGAGTTCCTCAATGAGAAACTGTAATCACAGGAACATGAGAGAGAAATGTAACCTTATTGTGATACATTTATATGCAGAGTAATCACATCAGTTCAACACACGTAAGTGATTTTTGCAGCATGAAAAAGAAAGGAAATGGTTGAAGGAAGACTCACCTTAAAATATGGGAATAGCAGTACCGATGTGGGACAAGGATATAACCTAGTTACCTTTGAGACTTGTGCCACCCTTAGCTTGGTGTGTACTATTGTCACACTTCTTGCCATCATCAGTCACAGTGAAGAGTTCATTCTACTATAGCCAAGGCCCAAGGCAGCATTCTTTTAGCTAGCGTCCTCTAGATATCTCAGAATTCTGCTCCCATAAGCTCCAGCTAGTATAGCCAGCAGTTGGGAATCGTGAGAACTGTGGTCTTAAACATCTGGAAGGCACCAGGTTAGGAAGGACTAATATCTCCTCATATGAGCCTTCCCCACCCTTAAGATCTTTAGAGGAGACCTTCCTCTTGGTTCCATTGGCTATTGCAGATGTGTTTAATGGGGACATGAGAGAGGGCCTTCTCTGTGACTGCTCTCAGGTCATGGAATGCTCTTCCTAGGGAGATCAGATTGTCTCCCTCCCTTTTATTTTTCAGGCAACAGGTGAAGAAGCACCTCTTCAGGGAGGCTTTTAACAACTATAACTGAGTCCCTGGAGGCTGGCTTTTGTAACATTTTAGATGCTTTAAAATTAAGTCATGCATTTTTAAATATTACTGCATGTGCAATTGTTTTTTAACCTTAATTTGTTGTGCTTTTAGAGTGACTTGCTTTAATATTGTGAGCTGCCTTGGGTCTCTTCCTTGGGAGGAAGACAGCCTACAAATGACAATAAATAAATAAATAACACAAATACATACTGTATAAGTGAAAGTTTTGTCTCTGGGCAACTAAAATTGCATTTTTTTAAAATAAAAAAAGCATCAGACTTACTACATTGGACACAGTGGGAGTTACTTCAAAGCAAACCTGCTTAGGTTTGCATTGCCAGGGTCTAATTTTATGCCACGTTCTTGGAAATCTGGTCCACTGAAATCAAGATAATGAAAACTAAATAGTACTTCAATCAAGGTTTTTCTGGATCCATTTGAGGAATGCAGTTAATCACTAAAATATATAAACACACATGAGCGACTAAAAACAGAAGTATTTCAGCAAAATGTTTGGCTTCCACCTTCTTCAGTTGTTTTGGTGTGCATTTGTGCATATATGTGATGTGATGTGAGTCTATAAATTCCTTTCAGCTTTCCAGTTTCTCCAGTATATGCTCATTATAGCTTCAATCCAAGCTTATTCAGAATAAAAGAAAGGAAACGTCTGCTTGGGATGGATCCAAGGGGTTAAGTTTCAAGTACAGATTTGCTATACATCTCCAAAATATTAGGTAACAGTGCATTATTAAACAAAAATGTAAATATTCTAGGCCTTTCTTCTGGTGCTATGCAAATCTCCAAAGAGCTTCAGGGAAGATCATCACCAATATTTATGTTTTCTTCCCTACAGTTTTCATCCTAATAATCTGAAGGAACTGTAATTAAGATTGGGAGACATTAAAGTGAATAACAGGTGGTCCTATGGGATAAGGGGACAGGGAGGACAAGGCAGAGGTTGTTATTCTCTATATAAAGTAATAATATGGAAAAAAGAGACCCACAAATATTTGTAGGGAAGGAAGGATTCTACAATATTATCTTGAAGCTGATAAGGATAAAGATAGACACTCACTGCTTCCAAATCAAGGAAGTGAAGAACAGCATATAATGTTGTGAATATGGAAAGCAAACTTTGCCCTCAGCTTTTGTCTAAAGAGGAAAAAACCAAATCTGGCGGCGTGCAATATTGGCAATAATAGGCCCGTCGCCAATGTTTCTTTCCTTAGTAAAGTGGTGGAGAGGGTGGTGGTCGACCAGCTTCAGGCTCTCTTGGATGAAACAAATGCCCTGGATCTGTTCCAGTTGGGCTTCAGGCCGCGCCATGGCACAGAAACGGCATTGGTTGCCCTGTTGGGTGACCTGTTGAGGGAGGCTGACAGGGGCAAAATGTCTTTGTTGGTCCTCCTCGATATCTCAGCCGCCTTCGATACTGTTGACCTCCTGGGGAGGCTCTCCCGAGTTGGGAATCGGTGGCCTGGCGCTTGCCTGGCTCCAATCCTTCCTGGGGGACCGTCCTCAGAGCGTACAGCTTGGGGAGAGTGTATCTGCTCCATGGAATCTTAATTGTGGGGTTCCACAGGGCTCGATAATCTCCCAAATGCTGTTTAATATCCACATGAGGCCACTGGGTGAGGTCATCAGGGGATGTGGGGCTTCGTGCCATCAGTATGCTGATGACACTCAGCTCTACATCTCCTTTTCTCCAACCACAGTGGATGCCGTTCTGTCCCTTCAGCTAACATAGACCTCCTAAAATAGTCGAAATACAGATTATGTTAGCTGGCCATACAATTTGCCTGAAGCACAGCAGATTGAGTGATGCAGTCGGAAAATGTCAAGGCTCAAGAATCTGAAGATTTAAAGTAGGTCCAGGTGGTTAATTTATAGTCTATAACCCTCATGTTCAGCCTACAAGGGACTAGAAACCTTTTACTAGAAACCTAAAACTAAGCTAGTTTTAGGCCTAGCCTAGGTTTAGGATAGGCCTAAACTAAGTGCAACAGGAAGAAACCAGTTGTATCCGTTGCTTGGTGTTCCATGCAGAGGACTTATCACTTGCATTGAGATGCAGAAATGTTTTGATCTTCTTCTTCTAAAGTATACCAAGTGTGGATGATTGTACATGAGCTGACATTGCAGTTTGGTATTGATTACTTGGGCAGCATGTATCTGTTGATGTCACGCATGCAGGGAAGGAAAGAAAATCTAAAATACAAGGGATGCGCCCAGAAGAAATAGTGCAACCACCTACCCTTTGCCAGAGCAGAGGAGATCCATTCCCTGCTCTCAAAAAAGGGGACAAAAGATGACACAGATTTGCAGAAAGTTCACATATGCTAATTTAACAATTCACATAGTTTATCTGGAAAATGATACCATTCAAAGACTGTGCCCAAGTGACCACTCTGTTGTTCAGATGCTAGCTGTTGAGGAGTGACCTCTCAAGGCCACTACTCTCACTTTTCAAGACTACTGATATAGAAACTGCACTTGTAGCACACAACCCTTGAAACGGGGGCTATTTTCTCTAAGATTGTACAGAGGACAAATTTAGGAGAAATATTGCAATAGGTACTATGTGCTGTGTGGTTTGGGGACAAGGGGGCATAACTGGTGTGTAGCATGGACATTTGTTGTTCTTTTTAGGATAAGCTTTTCAATCCTGAACCTTGTGTCCTGGATACAGGACAGAGCTGGGGGGGGGGTTCCCCATAAATTTTCAGGAGACAGTGACTTCTAGCTCCATTGTTGTGTATCTACAGTCTAGAGTTCTCAGGTACGGCATACCTTGAAAGAATGGAAGGACAGTGTAAAGAAATAGTATTGTTCAGCTAGGGCAGACCTGGGCAAAGTGTGGCCCTCCAGATGTTCCTGAACTGCGAATCCCAACATTCCTCACTGTGTGGACTAGGCTCAACTCTCCTCACACTATTGGCTGTGTGAGCTAGGCCCAAATCTCCTCACTATTAGCTGTGTGGGCTAGGTCCAAATCTCCTCACTATTGGCTGTGTGGGCTAGGCCCAAATCTCCTCACTATTGGCCGTGTGGGCTAGGAATTATGAGAGTTGCAGTTCAGCAACATCTGGAGGGCCACATTTTGCCTACCCCTGAGCTAGGGCAAAGTTCTGAGACAACACAGGAAGCAGTAGTAGTGTGTGAATCTTAGAACAAGAAACATTTGATATGGTGGATAGGAGTGACAGCATTTTGCACCAACCGTCTCAATAGTAAACATACATGCAGAAGAGTGTTTATGAAATTACTAGAGGGATTATACACATTGCGACATTACTAGGACTGTGGGCATATAGTTGTGTAGGAGGGAGTCCATTGGTGTTTAGACCTAAGCTGCATGAGAGCAGAAGAGAGGGAGACCTTTTTACAGCTCCTGTGCTGAGAGTGAATGCAAATGGCTTGACTTGCAGGGACAAGGTGGTCTGATGACAGCCAACACAAACCCAAGGAGCGTGTGCATCCGGTGACTGCAATCCAGGCACCTTCGATCCATTCACTCCAGGAATCCCTCCCAGAACTTACTTAATGGCCTTCTTTTCGCTGCGGCCTCGGCTGGAATCTGGCGTTCCCACTGTCTCCAAGGAGTTTTTGTACCGTTTGCCCTGAAATTAAATGGAAAAAAGAAAGTGAAGATAAGAGCTACCTGTAAGGAGGAAAAGGTTAATGCTAGGAACACTTAGATATCATTTTGTTCTTCTCCTGTTTCACTCTTTCAGTCGGACTACTTGCAGTTATTAAGGCCCGCTTTCTCCAATAGCCCGTGTGTAAACCAAACATTTGCACAATGGACTGTAAAGGTAATTTGGGGGTGACAGCCACAGAAGTGTTTGGTAGGGAAAACAACAACACATCTCTGCCACCCTGCCTCCACTGCTAAAGAGCAGGGTAACATCTCTACTACAGCTAAACTGAAAACAGGGTACTTTATAAAAATGGTTTTTCTTAGTGCTTTAATTCCACATGCATTTCTTCTTTGAAGATAAATCCTACTAAGCAACTAGAAAAGTATTTACCTAATCAAAGCCCAAAGCAACAAAATGATAAAAGCCAGAAATGATCCTAAATATCTAATGAAAGCACCCAACACAATAATGGCTACCAGGAAGAAGATGAAAAAAATGTAGTGGGCCTTCTTAAGCAATTAACCATTCCTAAAATGTGACAGCAGTCTGGAAAGCTGCTGCGTAACAATCCTTGAGTGATGCTTTTGCACATCCAGGAAGTGCTGCAGGCTGACCATGCCTGCTTTCTAGAGAATTTATGAAGAAAGGATTTATCAACACAAGGGAAATGTGCAAGTGGGTGATTTGGAAGGGAGTGATTTGGGGGGAGCAAATCGTGCCAACCAAATTCCTGCATACCACTGGATCCTCAACTTTTTCAGTATATCCAGAAGCCACACCTAGAAGCCAAGAAATTGGCCTTGAAAGCCGAAGGCAGAATTCTGAACTACTCTTGGAACTGTCCATTGTAATAGTGCCAGAAACATTTTCTTATGGTACACGCAACAAGCGAGGCTGAACATTCAAACTACTGAGATCTAATCAGACTTTATAATCCTATCTTCCTTGCTTCACTCAATTTTCTCATTTCCTCCCCCTCTTCCACTCCCCCCCTTTTTATCACCATGAAGCAGAAATATTCATATTGAAGTAAGGAATGGGATCAAGGTTGTCAGGTCTCAGGGAACAGCTATGCTTCTCTGGGTCTCCAAACAGGAAGACAAATCTCAGGGCAAGGAGGAGAAACTTGATTTGTGTGTGTGTGTGCGTGAAGTGGCTCTAGTTTGAGTAGCTTGCATGAATTGGATGTCAATAGTACTTTAAATGACTGTTATAGAAGTATTGATTTTAAACTCTCTCTCAACTCTTTCACAGCTCCCTTCACCTTCTCACCACACTCAGATCTCCTGAAACATCCTATTTCTCTATCACAAAAGCCAAACTCTCTCCAACACCCTTTTTTTTTTAACTCCACCCATATTCAGACTGAATTGAACTATCAATCTGCACTCGTTAATCCTATCTTTGTAACATTCCATAGGCCGTAACTGGCAGAGACAAAGGGACACAGAGAGGGTGGACACTACCACTGTCACAGGTACAGTGTGATTTCATTTTAGTGCCAAATTAAAACACAACTAAGGACCAGAGCATAGGGATTTAGGGATTTTGACTTCAGTAGGTTCTTTGTAATGTTTTGGTTTATTTTAAATGATCCTCTGCTGCTTCAGTTTTTGGCTTGAAATCTCAGGGAGATGGCCAGTGTTGGCCTGGCATTGCTACATAGAACAGGGGTCACGTGGGCCCACAGCATTGAGCTGTGTCATTCTCTCAAGGTTTGTTTGTTTGTTTGTTTGTTTGTTTGTTTGTTTGTTTGTTTGTTTGTTTGTTTGTTTGTTTGTTTGTTTGTTTGTTTGTTTATTTATTTATACCCCGCCTATCTGGCCATTGTGACCACTCTACAGCTCTATCTGGTCATTGCGACCACTCTAGGCGGCTTACAACACAAAATATAAAACAGGTTTACACAATTAGAAAAATTTTCTACAAGATGATTTTTCTGCCATTTATCTTTTTTGCATGAAGTCCTTGTTTAGGTCATGTAAAAATTATGAAATTTGAAAAGTTAACAGAAAGATATGCATAAAATACTCTCTGATTAGAGAGTCAGTAGTTACATTTTGTATGGTTCATGTATTCATGATCTACTCAGTTACTCTTTCTTACAGAGTACTTACATATTTTTTGTACAATAACATGGGTGGAGGTTAGGGTTTCCAGGCTGCAGGGAATAAGTGAAGTTCCAGGGAATTGCTATGCTTTTCCATCTGTCCAGGTGAGGAAAGATGCTGGAGGAGAAGAAGTTTGATATTTATGTGGGAGATGTCTTTAAGCTTGGACACCCATCTATGCCTGACTGTGTGTATATTGCAGAAATGCAACATTGGCACACCGAATAGTCAGTAGTGAGGGGATGAGACTGAGGAGAGAGCTGGATGAGTGCATTCATTTAAACATAGCATGCCACTGGAACAAGAAATGGAACAGTAGCATCATGACTCATGAGCCTTCTTTTTGTGTAAGACCAGTAGGAGCTGGGGAAAAAAAATCTCCACAGGAGCTGGTGGGGGACCTTGCATAAGCCTTACAGTGTACAGTGACTAGGAAAAAAAAACTCCCTGTATCTCATGTGTTATAGCAGTAAGATTGCATGGGATGAGAATGGCCAGTTTAATTCCTTGGCACTTTTTCTACCCTTTCCTAGGTATGGCTTGCAATATTACATGGTTATCCAGGTTCCACCTGCATTCTAGGCCCTTTCAGTAATATTCCTTATACCTGTGTCCACATCAGCTGGGCCAGAAACAATTCCATGGCTTTTGCCTTTCTCAATTCTGTAACACCACAAACACACCTCCCCTCACATGGCCTACTGCTGAGAAATGAGAGGTGCCCCTCTACTCCATTGGTCCAGATTTTGGCTCTGAAATCTTAGAGAACAGGTTGCTACTAATATTTCAATCCTAGCAGAGGATGACCACAAGCTTCTACAGTATACCTATTCACCTAACTAGATTTGTGATATTCTATGTTCTGTGTGGAATGCCAAATCTGATGATTCGTAATTCCATTCAGTTCCAGTCCAAACAACGATCCCTACACTTTGTATTGTAGCATCAGGGCTACAACAGTAACAACTGGGTGTCTGTGTTTAGCTAATATAAAGCCATGCTGTGGGATTAAATTTAGAAGTAGGCTGTCTTTCTATGGAAATGACTAATCATGGTTCATAATGAAGTCAGTGGGAAGTGTTAAGGGTTTTGGACTTCTGAAAGCCAAGGGACTACAATTTAATTATCTGCCCCCCTAGAAGGAACATGTTCTCTGTAGTTTTTATTATCATCATTTCCTCCAAACCCTGTAGGATAATTGTCACCACATGCTTTTCTTCAATGTAGGGTTCCTGTAAAGCGATATTTATTAGCTCAGGGATGCTATTAAAGTTAAAGGCTCCAAGCTAATCACAAAGTTCTTTTTGAGCTTTCAATTTACAAAATAAAACAAAACAAAACAAAATAATTTTTAAAAAATAACCATAAGATGCAAACAAGACCTTAGTCATTGATTCTCTGGCATCAATGCACAATATTATTTATTAATATCTGGATAGCTACTGGGCAGTTGTGAAAGTATTTGGTAAAATACCAAGAATTTTGTATTTTCAATTGCTACTGATGGGAGTGGGAAATGTCTTTAATTACATGTCCAGATTCACAAAGGGAGCCCATATGCAGAAATTTCAGGAGCCATTGTCTCAAATCCTAGTTTTGTACAGCTTTGACTGTCATACAATTTCTCGTTTACCTATGCACCAGTTTAAGCAGTTAATTGAAAAAACAAATGTTTCCCTTCCCAGTAATACACTATATATATTTTTAAACAGGCAAAAGGCTACCCATGAAGCCATCCATGACTTTTTAATGATGGCTGCAATGGCAGGATAATATTACTAGACAAACAAGCTAATAAACCAGAGCAGGGTCTAGATTGTTGATTTAAAAAAACCCAACATCATTCAGTTTAATTAGTAGGAAAGTCTAAATTTCCATTGAGGCTGAAATCCAGTAGCATAGCTATGGAGTTGTAATTTGATGAGATGCCTGTGGAAGCTACGGCTGTGCCAAGGCTGAAGTGCCATCCATCAAGTACTTCCACTGATGCATTACACAGTTGGTCAAACAGGAACCATATGATCAATGGCACCATCATCTTGAGCAGTTCTTGTTGCTGTGGTGGAATGTCGGCCACATTTATGATGCTATAACTTTTTTGTTATGCCTTGATCAACTGTATTTTCATCAGAGTTGTGAATTTGCATGTTCAAGTTTCAAGAGAGGTGACGTTTTAATGTATTTCAGCAACAATACAATCAAAAGGGTGAACTTTTTACAGATTACAATCTTTTTCTTCAGACACATTCTGTCTGAAGAAGTATCTGGAGAAGCAGACTATGATCAATGAAAGAAGACCTGAAATAAATTTGTTAGTCTTAGGGGTGCCACAATACTTTCATACTTTTTAAAATTATTGCTGCATGTTCAAATCAATGACGGAATTGAAAGAAGGATATTCAAAGAGAACTAGGATGGAAAATATAGGTGTAGGAGCATATTTGTTGTGTGGTGCCCTAAGTTTTCAAGACAGACAAAAGTTGGCCTGTGAGACCTACTTTTCCTCTCCATTATTACATCAATAATGGGAAGTGGGGAAGGTCGTTCTCAAATTAACTGAACTCCAATTAATTAAATTCACAGTAACATAAACGTCACAAGATAATTAAGTGTGCATTTTTTTTCTTAATTGGATCTCAATTATAAGGCCACTTGGCTGAGATTTCCAATGGCAGGTTCACCATATTTCATGGTTTTTAGGGCAGATAAGTGACAATTAATGCTAATTACTGAACAATTAGCAAATGAAAGCACAGGTGCAGAGACAAAGCAGGTTTCTGCTACTCCTGGTGCAAGACTGCTGGTGCAAAATGAGCACAACTGAGCACAAAGCACCTCTCTGTGTTGCTAGCCTACCTATCCCTCCTT